AAATGCTCCTTGGGTCTCTCTCTTCGCAGGGGGGTTTCCTCCCGCTATCACGTGACTGAGTGGTCTCCCAAGCTCCGCAGTGGCCACTGCACCCTTCTCAGCCTCTGTTCCACTTTGGCAAGCTCCTCTCAGCCCACAGGCTCGGGTACTTCAGGAACATCTTTTATGCTAAGCACTTCCCTATTTCCCCATGTTCTATCTTGTAGTCTATTGCAAGTGGTAGGATGAAAATACTAAACCAAGGCAGTTTTAAATAGCCATGATTTAATATCCTATGATTTAATGTCTTCTTTGTTTTGCTCAATTTCCTACAATTCCATTGGGTGGGGGGGGCGGTGGAATATTATTCCAGAGGAGCAAAAAGCTTATGCATAAAATAGGAACCATGACATTTATTCAAACAACCAGGCACTCATGATTTAAGAAAAAATACAAGAGCCATCACAAGCCAGGAAATCGAAACTGTAATCAGAAATCTTCCAGCAAACAAAAGCCCAGGACCAGATGGCTTCACAGCTGAATTCTACCAAAAATTTAGAGAAGAGCTAACACCTATCTTACTCAAACTCTTCCAGAAAATTGCAGAAGAAGGTAAACTTCCAAACTCATTCTATGAGGCCACCATCACCCTAATTCCAAAACCAGACAAAGATGCCACAAAAAAAGAAAACTACAGGCCAATATCACTGATGAAATAGATGCAAAAATCCTTAACGAAATTCTAGCAAACAGAATCCAACAACATATTAAAAAAATCATACACCATGACCAAGTGGGCTTTATCCCAGGAATGCAAGGATTCTTTAATATCCGCAAATCAATCAATGTAATACACCACATTAACAAATTGAAAGATAAAAACCATATGATTATCTCAATAGATGCAGAAAAAGCCTTTGACAAAATTCAACATCCATTTATGATTAAAACTCTCCAGAAAGCAGGAATAGAAGGAACATACCTCAACATAATAAAAGCTATATATGACAAACCCACAGCAAGCATCACCCTCAATGGTGAAAAATTGAAAGCATTTCCCCTGAAATCAGGAACAAGACAAGGGTGCCCACTCTCACCACTACTATTCAACATAGTGTTGGACGTTTTGGCCACAGCAATCAGAGCAAAAAAAGAAGGAAAAGGAATCCAGATAGGAAAAGAAGAAGTGAAACTCTCACTATTTGCAGATGACATGATCCTCTACATAGAAAACCCTGAAGACTCTACCAGAAAATTACTAGAGCTAATCAACGAATATAGTAAAGTTGCAGGATATAAAATTAACACACAGAAATCCCTTGCATTCCTATACACTAACAATGAGAAAACAGAAAGAGAAATTAAGGAAACAATACCATTCACCATTGCAACAAAAAGAATAAAATACTTAGGAGTATATCTACCTAAAGAAACAAAAGACCTATACATAGAAAACTATAAAACACTGATGAAAGAAATCAAAGAGGACACAAACAGATGGTGAAACATACCGTGTTCATGGACTGGAAGAATCAATATTGTCAAAATGGCTATTCTACCCAAAGCAATCTATAGATTCAATGCAATCTCTATCAAGCTACCAATGGTATTTTTCACAGAACTAGAACAAATAATTTCACAATTTGTATGGAAATACAAAAAACCTCGAATAGCCAAAGTAATCCTGAGAAAGAAGAATGGAACTGGAGGAATCAATCTGCCTGACTTCAGGCTCTATTACAAAGCCACAGTCATCAAGACAGTATGGTACTGGCACAAAGACAGAAATATAGATCAATGGAACAGAATAGAAAGCCCAGAGATAAATCCACGAACCTATGGACACCTTATCTTCGACAAAGGAGGCAAGGATATACAATGGAAAACAGACAACCTCTTTAACAATTGGTGCTGGGAAAACTGTTCAACCACCTGTAAAAGAATGAAACTAGAACACTTTCTAACACCATACACAAAAATAAACTCAAAATGGATTAAAGATCTAAATGTAAGACCAGAAACTATAAAACTCCTAGAGGAGAACATAGGCAAAACACTCTCTGACATAAATCACAGCAGGATCCTCTATGACCCACCTCCAAGAATATTGGAAATAAAAGCAAAAATAAACAAATGATACCTAATGAAACTTAAAAGCTTTTGCACAACAAAGGAAACTATAAGCAAGGTGAAAAGACAGCCCTCAGATTGGGAGAAAATAATAGCAAATGAAGCAACAGACCAAGGATTAATCTCAAAAATATACAAGCAACTCCTCCAGCTCAATTCCAGAAAAATAAATGACCCAATCAAAAAATGGGCCAAAGAACTAAACAGACATTTCTCCAAAGAAGACGTACAGATGGCTAACAAACACATGAAAAGATGCTCAACATCACTCATTATCAGAGAAATGCAAATCAAAACCACAATGAGGTACCATTACACACCAGTCAGGATGGCTGCTATCCAAAAGTCTACAAGCAATAAATGCTGGAGAGGGTATGGAGAAAAGGGAACCCTCTTACACTGTTGGTGGGAATGCAAACTAGTACAGCCACTATGGAAAACAGTGTGGAGATTTCTTTAAAAACTGGAAATAGAACTGCCATATGACCCAGCAATACCACTTCTGGGCATACACACTGAGGAAACCAGATCTGAAAGAGACACGTGCACCCCAGTGTTCATCGCAGCACTGTTTATAATAGCCAGGACATGGAAGCAACCTAGATGCCCATCAGCAGATGAATGGATAAGGAAGCTGTGGTACATATACACCATGGAATATTACTCAGCCATTAAAAAGAATTCATTTGAATCAGTTCTAATGAGATGGATGAAACTGGAGCCCATTATACAGAGTGAAGTAAGCCAAAAAGATAAAGAACATTACAGCATACTAACACATAAATATATGGAATTTAGAAAGATGGTAATGATAACCCTATATGCAAAACAGAAAAAGAGACACAGATGTACAGAACACACTTTTGGACTCTGTGGGAGAAGGTGAGGGTGGGATGTTTCGAAAGAACAGCATGTATATTATCTATAATGAAACAGATCACCAGCCCAGATGGGATGCATGAGGCAAGTACTCAGGCCTGGTGCACTGGGAAGACCCAGAGGAATCGGGTGGAGAGGGAGGTGGGAGGGGGGATCGGGATGGGAAATACATGTAACTCCATGGCTGATTCATGTCAATGTATGACAAAGCCCACTGAGATGTTGTGCAGTAATTAGCCTCCAACTAATAAAAATAAATGAAAAAAAATAAAATAAAATAAAAAATAAACTGCTGTAAGCCACGTGCCAAAAAAAATAAATAAATAAATGAAAAAAAAGAAAAGAAAAAATACAGCTAAATGGCAGAAGATAAGGTTCCAGCTGTTCCATCTGCCACAGGGTAATTATGGGAAGATTGTGGGGCTCTATTCTCCAATTTCTCCAGCTGAAAATTACAATTAATAACTTACATAGAAATTACTATTAAAAAATATTTCATTGGTACAAAAAAATTAGTTGGGCTAGAAACACTAATTTGTGTCCTGAAAAAAGATAATAATTTAAAAAAGAGGTGTGATTTGACCTTGTTTTGTTTCAGATGTGCTCCAACTATGAATGAATGTTTCTATTAAACTTTTGACCATAGATTTAACACCAAAGCATTGTTAATAAACTAACAGAAATTAGAGATAGTGCACTTTATATTCCACATAGGGAAGCGAGGAAAAAATCTTCCCCAAAACAACTCCATGTCTTTAAATTTTTAATAATACAGATTTCTGAAGCAATTCAGATATTCACAGGAGAAGAATTAAATGACTCCTTAAAACTTTTTTGCTGGAAGCATTTGGATCAATTCCATTTTAAATTACTTAAACAATAGAGCACCTACTACATTCTTTGTAGGAATAACACTAATATTCCATTTACACACAAAGGAGAAAAAAGTTTATCCCCAAATATAAATTGTATTTTGTTTTCAGAGCTTCACCCCAAATATAAATTGTAGGAATAGGAGAAATTTGCCCAGATATATTGAGATTATCTTATCTTTCACTTGTGTATTTCTTTCTCCCCATTCCATATTGCTTTAAACAATCTTGTAACGTCTTCTATTTCATTTAGTAGACAATGTCAATAGGCAAAGATGTTAGAAACCAGGATTAGGTAGGACAATACATATTTCAGAGCATTCCAGACTGGATAGATGAAGACCAAGGATCTGACTCATCCCTCTCAAACTTTAAGGTTATGTAATTCACCTTGCCTCCAACCCACCTTGCCTCCAACCCACCTTGCCTCAGGAGGAAGGAGTGCCCCCAGGGGTAGGAGGAGGAAATGCCCTGAATTAAAGGTCAAGTTTTCAATTCCAGTGAAAATGGGAGGTCTGAGGAATTCAGTTCATTCATGGAAAATAGTCATATTTTGGCACATCTTGAGTTTGTGACCTAGGAGACAAAAATTCACAGCAAAAAGCCTTGGCCTGACTGGTTGTCAGGTGGGAAGGTATCAGAGGCCAAAGCAGACAAGGAGTTTCAGCAGATGTGATCCTGGAAAGCAAAGCCCAGAAAACTAAAGCACCTGCTCCAAAAGTTCCTTAATCCTGCTCCTGAGTAGGAAGCATCCTCAGGATTTAGGTGCTTGCATATGAGGCAAAAAGAGAGAATGAGTGGAAGGACAAACCCTGACTGGATAACCAGCAATTTCTGTAATGCCGTATAAAGACAGGAGGCACTTGTTTCACATTTCTTCCTGTAAGAAGTTGGCTTCTTCTGGCTGAGATTTTAACTGTATTTTTAATAATTAAATAGTGTATAAGATAAACTTCCCTCCTTCTATCCTGCCCAGTAAAATATTTATTAAAATGGCTTTGTGCTTATTGAAAAGCATTACACTCCAAAAACAAAGCACAACCAAAAGTGGTTCATTACGTAGAAAACAGTAACAGCTTTTACAGTGACACCACTAAAAACTATTTAACCTGGGGTCATCACTAAAGTCCACCTTTGGTGCTACTTACCCAGATGCACTCTGTGTATGTGTTCGTGTGCATGAGGGCATGTGTGCATGTTTGGTCGTGTCCAGCTCTTTGCAACCCCATGGACTATAGCATTCCAGGTTCCTCTGTCAGTAGAATTTTCCAGGCAAGAATACTGGAGCAGGTTGCCATTTCCAACTCCAGGGAATCTTCCCAACCCAGGGATCGAACCCATGTCTCCTGCATCTCCTGCATTGGCAGGAGGTTTCTTTACCACTAGCACCACCTGGGAAACCTGAGAGGCACGATAGCAAAGATCAAAGCCAGTATAGGAACCCAAATTCTTATGCATACAGTAAGCTCATAAGATTTTTTGCTATGGTCTCATTTACAATAATGATTCCAATCTTTATGAGATCATGTTTCCAAGTTACTAGAATTACACCCAACACTAATGAAGCAGTTATCCCCAATCAGACACAAGGGTGTGGACCTGAAGTATGTGTAAGCCGTCATGCCCGTATATATCCCAGTGGGACAAAACCACAGAGCTAACTATAATTTTCAAGAACAAAATTTTCCATGAATCAGTAAAGCCCTAAAGGTTTTAAAAGGACTTCTAGAAGGCGTGACTTCTGAAGCATAATGTTCCAGTAAACTTGGGAGAGTGGTGACAAAACATTCTAAAATCATGACACTGTCTCATCCCTCTGGGGAAAAAGAGCATCTCCCCTGCACACATAATATAAAGGAGTTATTTATTTAGTCACACTTTCTCCCACTTCTCTGGATTTAGATGCAACCTTTCAGTTCTAACCGTGTGTGTACAGGCAAAGACTGGAATAGTATGGTCTGAACAGAATTAACCAGCACAAGACAGTTTAGCCACTGTATTGCACTTCTTCAGAAAGTGCACTCCCTAACTGGGGGAAAGAAGGAAGAAAAAAACAGAGGCTGGCTGATAGCAAACCCACTGGCATTTGGAAAATCAGTGCCAGGAAAGGACTGGTTTAAATCAAAGTTCACAGGCTAAATCTACTCCTACACCTTGTTGGAGAAGTTTCCCAGTGCTGCTTATTCTATTACAAACCAAAAACAAAGTGTGTGTGTGTGTGTGTGTTGGGGGGGGGGGGGGGGAATGGCCTTATTTCAATTCACAAATGATTCATTCCATGGGTTTTTACTATACCCTACATCAGATTACATGGTTGCTGTTTTTCATTTTCCCAAATGCCACAGAAGGAGAATGAGAAAAGTTATGAGATCCTCCTAGTCCATCTTTACAACAGAGGAAATGGGAGCACTCTTGATCCCTTGGCCAACAATGGTCAACACCGAAATCAGATTGATTATATTCTTTGCAGCTGAAGATGAAAAAGCTCTATACAGTCAGCAAAAACAAGACTAGGAGCTGACTGTGGCTCAGATCATGAACTCCTTATTGCCAAATTCAGACTTAAATTGAAGAAGGGGGGAAACTAGACAATTCAGGTATGACCTAAATCAAATCCCTTACAATTATACAGTGAAAGTGAGAAATAGATTTAAGGATATCTAGATATTTGATATTTAAGGATATCTAGATTTAAGGATATCTAGATTTGAACTAGATGATATCTAGTTCATCAGAGTTCCTGATGAACCGTGGACAGAGATTCATGGCATTGTACAGGAGACAGGGATCAAGACCATCCCCAAGAAAAAGAAATGCAAAAGAGCAAAATGGCTGTCTGAGGAGGCCTTACAAATAGCTGTGAAAAGAAGGGAAATGAAAAGCAAAGGAGAAAAGGAAAGAAAAACCCATCTGAATGCAGAGTTCCAAAGAATAGCAAGGAGAGAGAAGAAAGCCTTCCTCAGTGATCAGTGCAAAGAAATAAGAGGAAAACAATAGAATGGGAAAGACCAGAGAGATCTTCAAGAAAATTAGAGATACCAAGGGAATATTTCATGCAAAGATGGGGTCGATAAAGGACAGAAATGATATGGACCTCACAGAAACAGAGGACATTAAGAAAAGGTGGCAAGAATACACAGAAGGACTGTACAAAAAGATCTTCACAACCCAGATAATCATGATGGTGTGATCACTCACCTAGAGCCAGACATCCTGGAATGTGAAATCAAGTGGGCCTTAGGAAGCATCACTATGAACAAAGCTATTGGAGGTGATGGAATTCCAGTTGAGTTATTTCAAATCCTGAAAGATGATGCTGTGAAAGTGCTGCACTCAATATGCCAGCAAATTTGGAAAACTCAGCAGTGGCCACAAGACTGGAAAATGTCAGTTTTCATTCTAATCCCTAAGAAAGGCAATGCCAAAGAATGCTCAAACTACCGCACAATGCACTCATCTCACACGCTAGTAAAGTAATGCTCAAAATTCTCCAAGGCAGGCTTTAATGATACATGAACCGTGAATTTCCAGATGTTCAAGCTGGTTTTAGAAAAGGCAGACAAACCAGAAATCCAACTGCCAACATGCACTGGATCATCGAAAAAGCAAGAGAGTTCCAGAAAAACATCTATTTCTGCTTTATTGACTATGCCAAAGCCTTTGACTCTGTGGGTCACAATAAACTGGAAAATTCTGAAAGAGATGGGAATACCAGACCACCTGACCTCCCTCTTAAGAAACCTGTATGCAGGTCATGAAGCAACAGTTAGAACTGGACATGGAACAACAGACTGTTTCCAAATCAGGAAAGGAGTACGTCAAGGCTGTATATTGTCACCCTGCTTATTTAACTTATATGCAGAGTACATCATGAGAAGTGTTGGGTTGGATGAAGCACAAGCTTGAATCAAGATTGCAGGAAGAAATATCAATAACGTCAGATATGCAGATTATACCACCTTTATGGCAAAAAGTGAAGAAAAACTTAAGAGTCTTTTGATGAAAGTGAAAGAGGAGAGTGGAAAAGTTGGCTTAAAGCTCAAGATTCAGAAAACTAAGATCATGGCATCCAGCCCCATTACTTCATGCAAACAGATGGGGAAACAGTGGAAATAGTGGCGGACTTTATTTTTGGGGGCTCCAAAATCACTGCAGATGGTGACTGCAGTGACATGAAATTAAAAGACGCTTACTCCTTGGAAGGAAAGTTATGACCAACGTAGACAACATATTAAAATGCGGAGACATCAGTTTGTCAACAAAGGTCCGTCTAGTTAAGGCTATGGTTTTTCCAGTAGTCATGTATGGATGACTTTCTGAAAAGCTGAGTGCTGAAGAATTGATGCTTTTGAACTGTGGTATTGGGGAAGACTCTTGAGAGTCCCTTGGACTGCAAGAAGATCCAACCAGTCCATCCTAAAGGAGATCAGTCCTGGGTGTTCACTGGAAGGACTGATGTTAAAGCTGCAACTCCAATACTTTGGCCACCTGATTCGAAGAGCTGACTCATTTGAAAAGACCCTGATGCTTGGAAAGATTGAGGGTGGGAGGAGAAGGGGACAACAGAGGATGAAACGGTTGGATGGCAGCACCGACTCAATGGACAGGGGTTTGGGTGGACTCCGGGAGTTGGTAATGGACAGGGAGGCCTGGCGTGCTGCAGTCCATGGGTTCTCAAAGTGTCGGACATGACTGAGTGACTGAACTGAACTGAACTTGATCCCTTGACTGAGTTCTCACTTCCCTTTTCTCTCTCCATTGTGGTGGGAAAGAACTAGCCACCATGACTCCAAGTGTTACCTGCATAACCCAAATCCACATCCCCTTCTCAATTCTTCTCAAAATCCATGACAACCACTTCTAGCCCCTGCCATTCCATTGCTGCCACATGGACTCCCCCACACACATCACCCCATCTCACAGGTACCCTCTCCATTCCAGCATCTTCATGATTTTGTTACTCACAATAACCCAGACAATGCAGCCTAAGCACCCAGTGCTCAGAAGGTCTGGTTTGGTCTTTGAAGTTTGAAATATCAAGGGACAAACTGGACTCCATATCCTTTAAGCAATCTTTCCATTAGTATTATTTTTCACAAATAGGCTTTTGGAAAGAACTGATAAGCAGAGTTCAAGGTCATAATCTTTGGCAAGAATATGAAGTACAAATATTTCATAGTGAATAAGGCAGTCTTATGCTTTGACAATCAACATGACAATCAACACCTCACTTTTAAAGTTTTCCATAATCATAAACTGATCTTTCTCTATCTATCCAACATGGTTTTCCACTGTTTCCCCAAATGAATTATCTACTATGATCTATTTTTTTCTACCACTATCTTAATCATTATATGTAACAGCTTCAAATATTGGTCATTCTAATTACTGTATCATCTGTATCACTATTTTACCAGAATCCAAAAGATTTCCATCCAGAATTGTAGTATATACCATTTTAAATATCTGTAATTACTTAAGTATTATAGTAAAGAAAATAGCTCAATTCCTCAACCCACTACATAAAATGTCTAAGAGATAAGAGTTTAAGAACAGCAATCTTGAGTGTTTTGAAATTCAGATGTTATTATTTCTGCTGCCTTAGTAAATCAACACTTTAAAAGTTTCACTTAGAAAAGTTTTTTCTTTTTTTCTCTTTGTTAATTAACCTAATTCTTCTTTCCCTTGAGAAGCTAAAGAGCAACAGGGTTATGCAAGTTACCACCACTGGAGTGAAGTTTGGAGTTTGGGTTTTTTTCTTTTTAATAATTCTGCCCCAGTCCTATTTGTTGGCAAAGACTCTCAAAAACTGGCAAGAGCTATAAATTAGCTATCTGAACTATTCTCCCCTATCTACACAAAAGAGCTGTCCAACTTTCCAGTGCTAAAATGCTTTAATTCACAGACTTATGCCTTCGGGGACTAGAAAATTTGCCTCTAAGTCAGATAAACATATGGGTTATAACTTATTGTACAAACTAAGGCTTTGGGACCAGATAAATTGAACTAAACCCTAAAGCTGACTGATACATAATGTATCCCATATTTGTGCTGAATAAGAAAAGAGTAAAATCTAAAAATCAGGGTCATGACTTAAATAGACTCAGAAAGACCAAGGCCACCTTCCAGATTCATTACCAAATACTTAACTGATATCCACTGACTCAGAAGCACTGAAAGTCTACCGAAGAGATCAGTCCGCTCTCTTAATCTCTCTATTCCAACCATAGAAAGAAGAGTATATAAAATGATAAAAAGATTTATGTACTAGAAAACTGTCCAAAGTTAGATAAATATACAGATAAAATATATAAAAATTGTATACATTTACTTATATACTATGCTTTAGCTAGATTAGTAACTTAAACACAAACTCCCAAATTGAGACAAATGTAAGAAAATAAAGGATGGTTAATAAGACTAAAAACATAAATCAACATTACCACTTCACTGCTTCTTTTTTCTTTTTGGTAACAGATTATAGGATATAATGGATTTTTAAAAATTATTTCTAGTTGAATATCAAAAAGACCTAGAACAATAGATCAATACAGAAAAAAATAAGTCATATTTACCAGTTGTATGACTTATCAGAAAGAGAGGAATAGCAAAATAAGAGGAATGAAAATTATTTTGTTGATCTTAGACCTTACCATAATAATCCAAGATCAATAATCTTTTAGAGTATTACTTTAATTATATATATGTATTCAAAAATCCCTTAAATAAAGTAAAATAAAATCAACCAGAACATGAATTTTCAGTTAACACAACTGAATGATAAGCAAGTATCAAAGAAATGAGATCATCCTAAATCTTAAAAATATAGAAAAATATTTGCTATAAATAATGGAAATAATAAATCCAAGTATAATTATTTTAGTTTAAACAGGATGAAGGAATTATCTCCCCCTGCCTCAAAAAAAACAAACCCAGATATACCTACAACTACTTTGAGAAAAGGAAAGGGAATGAATCAAGATATTTACTTCCTTCAAATAAAATTTTCATGATATAAATCACTCGTGAAGTTACAAATGATCTCAGATCCATTAACAAATTGCATTTACAAATTAAAAATTAAAAAGGGGTCTTTCCTGATTTAAACACATGCACACACATGCAGATCTTAATCTCAGTCACAGCAAAATAGAAACTGATGACCAAACCAACAAATACGATGAGTTGTAAACTCAATAAACATGAGCATTATAGTAAAAAATTGCACCCCAGTTATTTCTTTTTATGATTCACAGCTAGTGTTTACATGTTAATAACGGTCTCAAGAAACAATGCTGAGACTTTCCCTAGTGGCTCAGTGGTAACAATGTACCGCCCATGCGGTACAGCGTTGAGCCTGTGCTCTACAGTCCAGGATCCGCAGCTTCTGAGCCCACATGATGGAGAAGCCTGCTGAGGCCGGGGTGGCCAGAGCCCACGCTCAATGCAACAAGACAAGCCGCCGCAATGGGAGGGCTGCACATCGCAGCTAAAGAGCCGCCACCACCCTCCACAACTACAGTAAAGCCCAGGCAGCAATGCAGACCCAGCATAGCCAGAAACAAATAAGTAAAGAGAAAGAAACAACGCCAAATTAATTATATAGAGAAAGAAGTGTTCCGAATAGTCACCACACATTCAACCTATATAGAACTTTTGGCACACTAGCAAAGACACAAAGAAAATTACACTTTTACTGCAAAAGGACAATCTTTACTGGTGCTAAAAAGGCAGAACCTTTACTGGTGCTTAAACAAAGAGGTAGCTAGAAAAGCGCCACCATTGCTCTCAAATGTTATCATTTACACAACACCTTAAAATACATAAAGATTTAGGAAAAAAGTCATTCTTCCAAACAGGTAAGACAAGTTAATCTCATCTATTTCATGATAGCAAATCCTTCCTCAGATGTTAACAACAGGCAGAATTATTTGATTTTAGCCTTTTATCACCAGAGACAACTGCCACATCACTATGCAAACATGATGAACTCATTTTATTAGGCAAATAGTACAATTTCATTCAAGTGCACTTAATACAGTACTACACATATAAATTGAAATTAAGAGAGATCTCCAATTGGAAACGGGGTTTAAAAAATACAGCTAATACTGATTTCAAGTTACATGTTTCATTGATGTTCTAATGAAACATACAAAACAAATGATTTGCTTCCAGCATCTCTGAAAGATTATCTAGTCCTTTAATGTATTAAAATAGAAGTGAGAAAATATACCCTTGAAATACAGAATTTAAAGTACAGTTTGAAAAATTGAAACCAATTTGATATGCTTAATTCAGATTATGGTTAAATGGTAAGAAGACAGCTCAAGAGTGGATAAAAGTTTCAAATTAGTCACATTTGGTGAAAAAAACATAAATGCAGGTGGCTGTAATGTTTACAGTGTCAGATTTTTTCAAATCCATGTATAACCTAAGTCCCAAAACTCATAGACTTAATTTCTTAAAACATGGCTGACTATTGAGGAAAATCCAAATGGATTATACCTAAAATGAGACTGTTTTTTTCTCCTTTTGTAAAATACTTTTGGAATTCATAACAACAACAAAAAAAAGCACAGAAAGACATTTAGAATTATCAATCCTTTTTTAAAATCGAGGGATCGCAGCTCTTGAAAATTTTCCCTTTATTTGCTTTGTTTCTTCAGAGTCTTCCTTTTCTTCCAAGAGTTTTGCTACAGATGTGTATCAGCTGTATATGTTAATAATTTATTTGCCTGTTCCCACAAGTGAAGAGGTGGTTTGATCTTTATATTTTACTTCTGGTAGGATTCTCTAACTTTCGCCTGCAGGGCATCACACGTCTTCTTGGCATCGCCTAGAAGCATGGCTGTGTTAGGTTTGTAGAAGATTGGATTGTCCACTGCAGCATAGCCAACACCTAAGGACCTCTTCATAACAATGACCTAAGAACCAAAGATTAGGTGAGACAGAATATTTAACACACCTGACCAGGACGTGTCAGACACACACACTTTGTCCTGCCCTAACTTTGAACAAAGCATGTACCACTACTGATTCTTTGTTATAAAGATTTTTAAATACACAAGGAGTATTTTTAAATGCATGTTTACTTTGTATTAACTTGATTTCTTCAAATGTGCCCATACTCTTATATCCACTAGAGAAAAGGTTCTATTAACAACAGTGTATCTCTGAGTGATAAGTGATTTTCCCCCCAGTGCTTTTGTCTATAAAGACAATGTATAACATTTTCCAATAAAAAAATAATAATAATAACCATCTTTCTCTGAATGGGCTAAAGACAACAAAGTTAGTGCATAAATTTCTACTACCAATCCTAAGATAAAAGTAGTTGAGTGGGAAAATGGTATGATTCTTAGCCCATTGATTTAAAGTAAAAAATATCAGACAAGAAGGATGTATGACAAGAGCCCAAAGAGTAATCCAGTGTCCCCAGAACAGAGCTAATGACTAAGAGAATGCTTCCACAAAGAAAAACGAAGAGGGAAGTCTTTCTCTAACACTGATGTGTTCTAGACATTTACAATTACACAGCTTGTAGATGTTGCTATCCTGTTGAATATCAAGTTAATTTTTCAAGAAATAAAAAGCCTTTCTACTTTCTTCTAGGACACAGAATCTATTCAAAAATGGAAGCAGAGCAAATTTATTCATGTCCCCTATACCATTAATACAGTAAGGTACTGTGCAAACTCTCAAATACTGATGATTGATGCAGTAATTTTTAAATACGTACGAACAAGTGCATGTCACATCTACTCACTCACCACAAATACTATGTTTAAAACTCCACATTTTTACAATAAAAATAGACAAATTAAAGGAAAATATATATGTTATAATGATTCTTAAAATCCAGACATGAGTTGAGAGTGGTGAAAAGAGTTGCCCACAGTTGGGACAGAGGAAAATTATAAGGGCTAGATTTCTCTACAATCTAGCAGTTAGCCTTTTCAGAAGTAATATGATGTGACCAGGGCTTGCTTCCTTATGCTATGTTACTGTTTGGATTTCTAAATCACCTTTCTTCTGGACACTCCATAACGTACAAGTAAAGTGAAAGTCACTCAGTCATGTCCGACTCTTTGTAACCCCATGGAATTCTCCAGGCCAGAATTCTGGAGTGGGTAGCCTTTCCCTTCTCCTGGGGATCTTCCCAACCCAGGGATCGAACCCAGGTGTCCCACATTACAGGCAAATTCTTTACCAGCTGAGTCACAAGGGAAGCCCAATCCTTTCAAAAAATTAAAGGAAAAAATGTGCTCATCTTCATATGTGAAGGTGATGATACTGACTCACTGTCCCAGAGGGAAGACATCTGCTTCACTGGACTCGGCCTAGAATTCAGCCAGCCTCATCCCCAAAGCTCACAGCTCCTTTTTCAGTTGTGGTTACAGGTTGAGTTAATCCACACAGATAATCTCCTCTAGCTCTAACTGAGGAGGCATTCAGGGCATTCATTCAGTTTCTCTGGTGACCACAGAACAGACAGAAGCTGGATCTAGAGAGTTGGACCCTAAATCTCCTCTTAACTCCTAAGCCTCCTAAAAGGCATCATCATTTCTCATCAAGTGACCAACTAAAAGTTCTGTGTGCATATCTCAAGAGACCTTTAATTCTTAGAATAAAATGCAAGTCTGAAACTTTACCTGCTTTGATTTCCAGACTTCAAGGACTGGCATGCCTGCAATGATGGAGTTGGGGTCTTCTTGAGCCGCTGAATTAACAGTGTCATTAGCTCCAATTACAAGGACCAAATCAGTGTCTACAAAAGAAAATAAAAATATCATAGTGGTCACTTCAGGCAAATGATGGTGATCTGACTTTTTAAAAACAATATAATAGTTGTTATAATAAGCTAATAGTTACAGGACAAACACTTGTGCCAGGCACTGTACAAAGAGCTTTATCAGAGAGGTTCAGTAACTTAGCCAGCATCACACAGCTTAAAAGCAATAGGTCCTGCATCTGAACCTGAGCACCCTGACAGCAGCTTGTATTATTACGCTTTCCCTCCCCTCCATGGATCTATTCAATCTGACTTTCGTTGTTGCTTTTGTTCAGTTGCTAAGTCGTGTCTGACTCTGTGGCCCCACAGACTGTAGCCCGCCAGGCTCCTCTGTCCGTGGGTTTTCCAGGCAAGAATACTGGAGTGAGATGCCACTTCCTTCTCCAGGGCATCTTCCTGACACAGGGATCGAACCTGCATTTCCTGCACTACAGTTGGCGTCTTTACCACCAGGAAAGCCCAATCTGACTTTACAGCTATTTTATTATCTCAAAATGATCTTGCCATTAACATTAAAGATATGCATTCCATTTTCAACTTTCAAAATGGCCACTTAGGATGCAATCTGACATCTAAAAGAACATGGTCTGAGAGTCTGTACTGTATTAAAGCTCTGTCCATAATTCCTGGAACAGACAAGCTTCACACATAATTTAGCAACAGTGAAATCTAAAAAGGGGACAAAAGTAAAATGGCCTAAATTCCCTCTTTAAGGACCGTAATTTAAATTACCTTAGAACTTTGCCAAAAATGCCATGTGAATCTAGACATACACACAATTTCATTATTTTTCTCTAATAAACAGTATTTTTTTAAGTTTACAGTGGATACTTGCCAGAGGGAACTGGTTTAATTTTAACAAACATGATTTTGGGTTAAATGTCATTAGCATTCAACATCTAGCCAGTGAAAGCCACCAAGTCCAGCCCCTGATTAGTGAAGTCCCAGTACTTCAAAGAAAACAGGAAAAGTATTGACTGACCATGAATTGGTGCAACTGAAAACCAGTAAAATCTCAAGACACTGGCAAGAATCAGATACTAAGTCATCAATGGAAGCGATTTTATAAGTGAGAAGCCTGAAGTTGAGCACCAAGTTCAAGGACACAAGCAAACCAGAGGCAGGATCTGGATTCCAAAACCAGGTCTGTTCCTAAAGCCTCTGCAAGGCACTCCACTCCACCGCACTGTCCCCCAAGACTTCCACGGTCCTTCAGACCTCCTCGCAGCGAGATGACTACTCATGGTGCTCACTGATCCTGTCTCACTATTTTTCAGTATCATCTTTCATTGATTTAATTTCAACTGCTTACTTACTAGGAGCAGGTTACTCTTCCTCTGGGAGCAGGTCTGCAGTAATCCCACAATTTATGTCCTCAGACTGGCATCGCTCTATTCATATGAAGAACACTTGAATTTCACCAGTACCCCATCACTTACCTGGGAAATCATGGTTGATCTCATCCATTTCCAACACAATATCATATGGCACCCCAGCCTCAGCCAGCAGCACATTAAGCTGACCAGGCATCCGGCCTGCAACTGGGTGAATTCCAAACCTAGACAGGAAACAAATGAACAGCTGGCCTTACTTGATGGGCCAAAATGTACAGGGACCCCAGTATCACCTCCAGACCTGCACATTCTGTTCTTGGCGCCTCTGGTTCTCCTGGTACTATCTGATCTCTGCGAGAAGGAACAGAATCAGTCCAGATATACCATCAATCTACAAATAGTAAGGTTGGAGATTCAAGATCTCAATATATACAAACTATAACTGCTCTCAAGAAAATAAGTGTAGCTTTAGAACCTGACTCTTCCATATATGTTTTAAGTCCAATGAACTCCCAACAACATTAATAAATAATACCACCTTACATTTAATAAGTATTATGTTCTCTCATGATACTCTGATTTTTTTTAATCTTTCTGAAGTCAGTCTGGAATTAAACATTTGCCATGAAAAACACTGTCATGCACATAAGTTAAAGGCCTACTTTCAAAGAAAAAGTTATCCAACTATGTTATCCAAATTTTCTATGAGAATGAACAGCTTTACAGGGGAAAAAAATTAACTTCATTTAGGAGAAATTAACACTTCATGTTTTTATATTGTGATACAATTTATAAATTTCTTATATATTATTTCATTCTATCCCTAAATCAACTTTAATAATTTCCATCAAAAATTAGAATTCAGAGCACCTGATTCAAATTTAGGACTTAAATAAACTGAGCTATAGAGCTACATTCCTATATCTAAAAAAAGAACGAAAGAGCAAGAACGTAAATAACAGGGGTTGCCTGCATATATTTTGGCATAATCCCTAATGCTGACTCTTCAAGATGTGCTATGCAACCTGACAACTTTTTTAGTAAACAGGTAACCTGATTCAAACTCAGGTCTCCTTCAAAACTCTGTACTTTTCACTACTATATAACACAGTCAGTATGTTCAGGCAATTTAAGAGGTATTTTTGTTATTAGCTCAAGATAGCTAGTTATATGATGTTTGGTAAGTTTACTAATCAGCTCTCTCAATTTTCCTATAGAGTACTAACCAGCTGTTATTACAAGCCCACCTCATGTCAAGGGTTATATAAAACCCTGCAGAAAAGGTTTGAGAAAGACCTATTTATCTCTGCTTAAATGGGTGAAATAAGGAATTCTAAGAATCCAAATTACAGTATTCTCTGAGAAAAATTGAGAATACAGCAAGTTTCAAATAATAATTTTAAAAAATTTTTTAAATGTTTGCATGGACACAGGAGGAAAAAAAATGTTCCAGTACAGACAGTACCTGCAATAGTGCAAAACATTTACCAGCACCTCTACATGCTGGGAAGTAGGTTCCGAAAAACTACTAGGGGTGGGAGGTGGAATGAACTGTATAGAATGGACTATTAATAATCTAAGACTCGAGACAGGTCAGGAGCCGGTAACTTCAGCAACGACCAAACTGTTGAGGCCGTTTTGGGACTTTGGAACTTTGTATGGTAGCATACACAACTCTTCAGCTCTATTTTTGTCACAGGAATGGCAAGATTGGAAATTCTCTCCACTCCACCCTGGGCTTACTTCCTTGGGGGGAACTGAACCACTCGGTTCTCTGAGTGGTTAGCCCTGTTCTCAGTCTACATGGAAGCCTCTCTCTGGCAGCAGAAGTGGAATCTCGGGCTATACTTTGACCTTCTGTTTGTGGGACAATGTTTTATTATTTGTATGTATGTGTGATGGTACTTACTTTGACTGGCTGAACTATATTTAATTGACTAAAAGATAGGCGCTTACAAATTAAAACTAAATATATAGAAAAAAGAATCCAAGACTTGGGGTTTTTTTTAATTTTTACTGGAGCATAGTTGATTTACAGTCTGTGTTAGCAAAATGAATCAGTTATACATATATTCATCTTTTTCATATTCTTTCCCCATGTTGACCATTACAGAGTATTCAGTAGAGTTCCCTATACTATAAAGTAAGTCCTTATTAGTTATCTACTTTATATGATAATATTTTATATATAGTAGTGTGTATATTGAAGACTCTGTTAAAAGGCATTTATCATCTCTTTCCTCAGTGAGTTATTTGGTTTTATTTTAGTGAGAATAAAATTAAGGCAATCACTAGTTTATTCCAGACTGTGGTCACCCAACCTCACCATCTCACAAAGCTTAAATTCTTTAACCACAAATTCTATCATTTTGGGAAATGTAACAGTTCAATACTTGAGTAAAACTTTTAAATGTTCATTAAAAACAAGATTGTTAAGACTGGTTTTTTTCTTTTTTTTTTTGGCTAGACACTGCTATCCTAGTATCACTGTCTGTTTCAAATGAGAGTTTTTAATCACCCTGAAAACAAAAGAAATGAGGCAAAATACTGACAACTCATGTTCACACTCTTCATGTAGTAATACAAACTATATTCGGCACTTTCAAAATATCACACAGACTCTTGGGATGAGATGTCTACTCTAAAATTTTAACGTTTTCACAACAGCGGTAGGATAAGACATTTGAAAAAAATTTCTCCAGGCATTATAGTATATGTTCATTAAGTGGGAGTTAATATTACAAACCCTCAAATCTGAAAATAAATGTCACTTTAATACTCTAACAATAATATTCTATGCATTAATATGAAAAATGGGAGAAAATGTAGTATATTGAAACAACCAAAATATACTCCTAAGCCTGCTGATTGCATGAATGTAGGAAAAGAAAAGACTTGATGAATGACGTTTCGGAGGTGACTGATTTTTGTAAATAAACATCACAGTCTTCAATTCAGGACTTCTAAACCTTTCTTCAATGATGGGAAGGGATGAATAATCCCTTAAGTTCACAAGTAATAACAGAAGCAGAAAGAAAAAAAGATAATAACAGACTCAGAAAAGGTAAAGCTCACTTATATGGAATAAAGAATTTAAATTTCATAAAAGAGGAAAGATTCAATTGGTGTAATCCTCCCAAAGACTGAGAAAGAAGGCAGAGCACAAAGCAAAATAAACGCACATGAGAGGGACATGGATGCGCCATGCATGATATTAAGGTGTATAAAAATAAGAAAGTAATTTGAACATCAAAATAAATAAGGTTAGTAATGGACTATAACCCTCTGGAGGAAAAGGCAATTCAGTAGTCAAGACAGATAACAGGGATCTCCCTGGTGGTCCAGTGGTCAAGACTCTGCAGTTCCACTGCAGAGGGCACAGGTTCAATCCCTGGTTGGGAACCAAGATCCCACATGCCTCTCAGCATGGCTGAAAAATAATAAAATAAAGCTATTAGAAACTTATTTTTTTTTAAAGACTGATGATAGATTAGGTCAATAATGAAAGGAAGAAATGGAAGAAGGGAATACTCTCCCCTATAATGGTAGAACACCAACTGATAAATGTAGTGGGTTATAAAACCACCATTTTGCATCAAGATTGGTTCAGATAAAAAATTATCAGCACACAGTCAATCTCAGGAGTAAAGCTCAAATGAGAAGCAGGATTTTGCTAGGTCTTAAAGAGAGCTCAACAGAAAAAAAATTGAATTTCAGCATGTTCTCTGAGAGCTACTTCATTGAAATTGATCAGTAATAGCTAGTTCTTAGACACAGAACACCTGGATACTCTGCTGAATGGGCATCTGGTTAAGTGGGCACAGTCCATATTGCTTTTTCTCCCCAGCTAACAGCTCCTTATAGTAGTTTAAAAATATATATATTACCAAGGTTATAAAACCAAATCTCAGCCAAGAAGAATTTAAATTGAAATCATAGATTATTATGATTTTAATGCAGTTTGATATGCACAGATACTGATAGAATATTGCAACTTGATGTTCTTCTAAATATCATATAAAAGTGAAAGTCCCTCAGTCATGTCCAACTCTTTGTGACCCTATGGACTATATAATCCATGGAATTCTCCAGGCTGGAATACTGGAGTGGGTAGCCATTTCCTTCTCTAGGGAACCTTCCCAACCCAGGGATCAAATCCAGGTCTCCTGCATAGCAGATGGATTCTTTACCAACTTAGCCACCAGGGCAGCCCAAGAAGACTGGAGCGGGCAGCCTATCCCTTCCCTAGGGGATCTTCCCGGCCCAGGAATCGAGCTGGGGTCTCCCATGTTGCAGGCAGATTCTTTACCAACTGAGCCACCAAGGAAGCCCAAACAGCTTGTGGAAGAACTAAAAGCACAAAGAATGTGCCCACCAAGGCAGAGATTCTGTAATTAAATTTGGGGACCCTAACGTGTCAGTATTTTTGAATAATGATAGAACAAAATAATTTCCAAAAGAATACATCCTAAACTCAAAAATTTTAGTTTGGGGAAGTCATTTCACTTCACAGAGGTTCTTAGTAACACAGCTGACATATCAAATTACATTGTTTATCAGCTGACTTTTATTCAAAGTCAATGCCAATGTGTATTTCAACTGTGGTGATTTCAAGTCAACATTCAAAATTAATGCAGGGCTGTTTTCAAATATCAGTAAAAGGTACTCTTATCTTCCACTACTGACTAGATCCCATAATAAAACTAAATAACTAGATTTAGTTAGGGAGTTGCAGCTTAAAAGGATCACAGGGCACTTCGATAAAGTTCAAGAGAAACATAAAATACCTAACAACTTAGAAAATAACCCACATTAAGTGAAAAAAGATCAACTGGCTAGAAAAAAAGGCAAACTGATTTTCAAGCAGACCAAGTAAGACAGAAGTTGACCAAATACTCCCTATTTTCATTTAACGGAAAGAAAGAAAATGGTCTTCAAATGCAAAAGAAAGAATTGGAAAAAAAATTTTTTTTAAATACTTTCTGTCAAAAACTTAGGAAGTGAAAGTCGCTTAGTTGTGTCCGACTCTTTGCGACTCCATGGACTGTCCATGGAATTCTCTAGGCCAGAATACCAGAGTGGGTAGCCTTTCCCTTCTCCAGGGGATCTTCCCAACCCAGGGATCAAACCCAGGTCTCCCACATTGCAGATGGATTCTTAATCAGCTGAGCCACCAGAGAACAAACTCCCTAGTAAGGGGAAGTTTCAGGCCTCTTTTCTGGTG